TGGCGGACTTGCCCCTGGGATACAGAATGGCGCCCACACGTGGGTGTCCACAAAACATTAAAAATCTTAACTTTAATTGCATCGCAACTCCGATCAAATCAGAACTTCGGCTTTCGATGCATAAGGAGCCAGTGACGACTTTTCATTTGGCATTGACGCCACATAAACGAATACGGCTATTTTGTCCTGACAAATCGAAAGTCAACAAGAGGGCATTATTATGAGTACGAATATTGCAGCCTTCGAAGGCGAATGTCACCAAAACCACAACTAAGCTCAAAAAACAAGACGACAAATGAAATCAGGGGTGCGAATCTCGGATTATTCTCGGAATCCTTGCTAAAGCCACAACCCCACGCCACCCCGCGGAAACGCCCGGCCCAGGTACAATTTGTACCCAGTAACCCCACGAACCTCTCTTGGAAAGCAAGTGTAAAAAGAGCCTTAAGCTGAGGAATCTTTTGTGGCTTTGCCCCAGATCTGCGTAGACGATTGCGTACCGTCAGCTTGGTCGTGGCGCCTGCCTAGCTTGGAGAGGTTGTTAGGGGTAAAGCTCAGCCACAATGAGTGGCGAATAGCTTAACTGGCTCGTTGGCTCGCACCACACCTCACAAAAAGAACACTCACACTTGCCACTTCTGGACTTACTTACCACTTACTGCAAAAATTACCATCAAATGTTAGAGATGGCAAAACTTCAGCGACGCCACTGGGCTCTGCAAAGGGTGGCTTAAGAGTCGGCCCGGTTAGTCGGAGAGACCGGCTCTTCGCTTACCCGATGAAAGCTATTTCAATTGCCGCTGTTATTAGCCGAAAGGGGAAGCTCAGACGAAAAGTCTTTCTCAATGAATTGAATTGGATCGGAGAAATGAAGAGATGTAAGGCAACTAGAGCTAATTGTGCAAATTTTCAGGACGCCGAAAGATGAAGCGATGCCCAGAAAAACCCCGATGCGAAGTTACGGCTTCGCCCGACTCCTCGGTTGGTCAGGGGATTCTCGGCAAAGGCGAGCTGTAAGCTCCCTTAGCAGATGTACTCAGCCGCGGAATCACGGGATCTAACGAGTCTTGTCTTGACCAACATTTATGGAATGGGACTACGATTGGGGATCTTTGCGAGAGTAAGTGAGATGAGGTATTTAAGGGGTGGCAGCGGTGAGACTTTCTAATGCGCACACGTAGAGAGGTGGGGCTGGATGGAAGCTCTCGTCAGCGTCAGCCTCCTTTAAGTACAGTAACTCTCCGTTTTACTCACTGTCAACTGTTTTAAGAAGGCAGATGTAAGAATGACATTCATCGGAAACAGTTTCTGCAGCCCTGCGGAGGCACCAACGGCACAGATGCATTGCAAACAACTTTGGCTGGACAACAGAGCTTGAGAAGCCGTTTGTGATCACTGGTCAAATTCCCCCCTTTTCTTTGGACTTTGAATGGCTCAAGTACCAGGGAAACCTCATTTTCGCCTGGGAAATGATGAGTGGAAACCCGCTGGTCTCAGAGAAAGCACGGAAATGTGCAGAAGACTTTCTGATTGCTCATACTTGAACAGCACACCACTGCCTGATGAAACTAACAGATTTTGGAATAGGTCTGATTGAGGAAGGCTTCCAGAAGCGCTGGAAATGCTGGACTGCGCCATGAAAGTGATTTGGTAGAGGTTCAGGAGCACAGAGAAGTAGAAAGAACTGTCATAGATGAGGAGGGAGAATATTTGGCCGAGTACTGAGTTGGAAACGTGGCACAGCCACCACCGCACACGTATATATGTAAATAGCAATAACGACGCTTAAAAGCAAAAGCACATTTAATCTAGTAGTTCTTTGGCCACTTTTCTTCCGCCTGCATGGTTTTACTACCCTATTTTCCGCTGAGCTTTGGTTTGCTGGCAATGACGCAGCAGACAGCAAAACAATGCCTAATGGCTGGCTAATCCGAAGAACGCACTTATACGGCACTTCTTCGTCCACTGAGAATAAATTTACGATACTGACTCACCGGAAGCGTTACCCCGCCACTAGTTCCAGAGTACGTTCCAGCTAGGGTTTGGCGGCGGGGTGCCTTCCAGAATCACCCTGGAAAACATGTGCTATTATTGAAATGAAGAGCCGAATTGCTTCACGTTCGCCTCACATGCTCTGAGATCCGCCTCGTCCACAGGGGCTCAGCGGAAACTCGAGTATTCACATGTCGTGATATCGAAAGTGCGCAAGGGTTCCCGTAGCTCGCAACAGAATCCTAGCGACTTTGCAATTACCTCGCCCCGTTGAGTCTCGTGCATTCGGATCTGCTGCAAGCATCGTCGTCGCCGAATCAATAGACGAGGCGTACGAATCGTGGCTGCGTGAACGTTACATGTGCCCGTAAACGGTCGGGGTTGGCTCGAGGCGTCTGCACCAAAGACGCTGGCTGCTGCAACGATGTGGACAGGGCAATGCTGACAGGCGTCTGGGCGAGGGTATGAGATAAATGAAGCCGAAGGATGAATCGATCATGCGATGGATTTGCAGTTTGTCCTGCTGAAATTTGCAAGGGAACCGTGCAAAGGTAGTCCCTTGAACAAGAAGAGTCCCCATCAAAAGTCCGTAGCCAGGGGATTTGCGAGATTTTGAGGATTTTGAGATGCAAAATACCCAGCAGTGGTATCGGCGGACAATAATAGTTCTCTGCCCCAATTCCAACTCAAATGGTGCGGCGCTCGGGCGGGGCGCACGCGCAGCTCATCCAGGCACGACTGCTTGGACCATAGGCTTTGACATGATGACTCTGACATCAATTACACCCCCCGAATTAGCCATCTGCATTATGGGAGCTTTACCGACCGTTTGAGAGTTCCCCTGGGATGACTTGAAGCCCTCTTTCCAATTCTGGGCGTTGAAACACTGAAGGATTTTTTGGCTTGGGACTGTGGAGGTTGAGAGGACCCGCGATGGCGGCCACCATCCGACAGTCGACAGCAAACCATCGGTGAATTAATATAAGCTCCCCTTCACCGACATAACTTCTGCTTTTCAGTTCAGCTATTGTGTTGAATTATATTCGCGTAATAAAGGGGGCAGGGAGAAGATCCAATGAGCTTGTCGTATTCTTCTGGTGAGGCTGTCCATTAACAGCTGATCAAAGCATCCTGACAAGCTGAACTCTCTTCGAAAACAAGTAGGGCGGCCAATGCCTACACCACAGGTCATAGCTCTCGTATTTTGGCTTTTTAAGTCAGAGCTGAGTAAATGCCTTGGCCCGATGGATGCTCTTATGGAGTTGAATTGGAGATTTCGAATATGAACATTGTTGAAGGGAGGAGGCTCAGAGGAGGAGGCTGCAACGAGTGACCTCTCGCATACGGGTCAGGGAGTGAGAGGCTGACTTTTCCAAGCCAATTGTGCGAGCATCAAGCACGCTATATAATGGGCCGCATTGCGCTGTCGGACAATGGGGCCTTGAGGCTTAAAATGGCTTGGCTCTTACGGGGGTTAGTTTCTGCATAGTGCTTCATTCAATATATGCGGTGTTCTGTATGTTCGTGCGGCTGAAAGGAGCTTGAGGGGGTTTGGGGGCTGGACCCAGTACTGTTCGGGATGTGGGCTCTCTCCTCTCTCTCTTTTCCGAATTGCCTAGAACTAATTTACCCTCTAAAGCAGGAAGTGGATTCGCACGCCGGCCGACCTTCCCCCGTGAACCGCATTGGCTATTCCAGTCGGAAGGCGACCTTGTGCGTTGTTGGGCACACTTTTCGTCAGGCCCGTAGCCTGCCACCGCAGCAGGCGCTACAAATAGGTGCCCAAGTCGATGAGGCGGGGGTGCGTTGCTTTCCCACGTATGCTTCCTGTGCTGTCTGTCTATCAACTTTGAGGCCGCAGGTCGCAGAACGGGTGTAGGAGACGGAGGCAATGCAAAGCCTTTTAAACTCCCGGATTATTTCGTGAAGAGTCCTTCATGAAGGCCAGGTCAAGCTGATTGGGCAGCTGGTTCGCGAATTTGCCTACCATTCTCTTACCGGTCACCGAAATCCCTTTCTGTGACTGGCTGGCCACAGAGCGCCCAAAGGGAAGCAATGCATGGTTATCCCACCCACCTCAGAGAAGGCAGACAGTTCGCAATCCTCTGGCAACCAACACTGCGGCTCCTTTGGCCAGCTGTGCACGTCCCACAATTGTTAATGATGCCACCCAGCCTGGTGCTTGGTGCACAATCCGCTCCCTTAAGGAGGAGCCTGCAGCCCGGCAACTCGAGGGTCTCAATCTTTCCTCTCTCACTATCCCTCGTTGCTCGACGTCGCGGCCCCTCCGTGCTGCCCACATCGCGAATCGCGTTATCTGAAGGTGTCCCCGCGAAAACCAGGCCAAGTCACGAGACCACCGCCCATCGTCCATCGCCTCACCCACCAGGCTCAAAGCCACGCTAGCGTATCTACGGAAACGCTCGTCACATTTGTGAGTGCGCCGCCCGCACCACCTCCTCCTCGCACGAAGTACTGAGCAATGTAGGAGAAATGAGTGCATCCAAACCAGACCTCAGCGACTTATGGATTCAACACCAGCGGAAAAACACGAAAACAACCCAGAGCTGGGCGTGCATCTTCTGCCCCAATCGGAGGGTTTTTGGAACAGAGCCTGATTTATGGCAGCATGCAAAAAGAGATCATGTCGAGGAGCTGGAGGCAAGGACGGGCGATTTGGACGCCTTTCGAGAAGAATATGCCACAGAATCTGCGCAGAAGAGGTTGGTGGCACATGCCCCGGGCAATTTTGGCCCCCGCAGCCTCACTGGGGGACTTTTCACATTTATTACTCCCCAAGGCTCTGAGAATCAACTGACACCACCTGCAGACCCACGAAGGACAATTCGCAGCCTCGCAAGCCGCAGATAAACGAGGCCAATCGGGCACAACCTGAACCCCCACCGGGGAAGAGGTCTCTGGAGCCTACCGGGCGTGAGCCTACTCGGCCAGCGTTGGGCATGGCAGCCTTGGAGATCAACACGCCTCGCTCCGGCGAAGACGTTCATATGCAAGATATAAGTGAGGAGGCTGTCGAGGACAGCCTCCCAAGCCGCAAAAGAGTTGCGACTGGAGATGGCATAAGTGCTGGGTCAGGTAGCCCTTTTAGAGATTCTTCGCCGCCGTCTTCACCTCGTCGTTCGATAGCAAGACCTACCTCGGGTCAGTTTGATTCAACATCGGATACGGATAACTTCCAAAGGAATATGTTTGACACACCGGGCAAGCCGCCGACCGGCAAACGTCAGCTTTGGCAAGAAGGCCAGGCTGGTCTCAGCAAGGCCTCCTTCAACGACCCGTCAAACTTTGCAACTATTGCTGCGCAGAAGGCTCGAGCACAGCAAAATAATCCAAAGAATCGAAAACCTTTCCAGCCGCCACCTCCTTCGTTTCAAAGTCCAAGGTCGCAAGTAGCTCCAAATATTCCACCACCCTCAACGTCACAGCCCAGTCAACACCCATCAATACTTGACGACTATGAGATAGTTTTACAACCTGAGACCAGACCAATATCACAAGAACAGTTAGTCGCTGAAGTTAAAGGGATATATGCAGGGCTTGTGATGGTCGAAGCCAAATGCATTGAGGTTGATAACAAACAAGCAACGCTGGCGCAAGCCGACCCTGGTGCCCAACCTAAGCTTAACAACGAGCAGTGGCAAGCTCTAATAGCTTTGCACAGAACGCTACTGCATGAGCACCATGATTTCTTCCTGTAGGATTCGTCCAAGTTTGCAAACTTGATGATACACACTGACAGAACCAGTGCGAGTCAACACCCTTCTGCCTCGGCTGCCCTCCGACGGCTTGCAAGCAAGTATGCAATGCCAGCACGCATGTGGCGCCACGGGATCCACAGTAAGTAATTCGAAGCAACAAGCTTCGTTTTAGTCTATTTTGGGATTGATTCCGTCCCCCTTGTTTCAACTACTAATATCTTTCTAATCACAGGCTTTTTGGAACTTCTCAGACATAGGTTACCTGCTTCCCTTGACCATATGCTTGCGTTCATTTACCTTGCCTACTCAATGATGGCGTTGCTCTATGAGACCGTGCCAGCATTCGAAGATACCTGGATAGAATGCCTTGGAGACCTTGGTCGCTATAGAATGGCCATAGAAGACGATGACATCCGGGATCGTGAAGTTTGGACTGGGGTTGCCAGGCATTGGTACAGCAAAGCATCCAACAGCGCTCCCACGACAGGTAGATTGTACCATCATTTGGCAATCCTGGCAAGACCGAACGCACTTCAACAGCTGTTCTACTATGCGAAATCCCTTTGCGTAGTAATCCCTTTTACTTCAGCTCGCGAGTCAATCTTGACGCTCTTCGATCCAGTCCTGAATGCCGATAATCACCAGGGCCTGTATAGACTGCCACCGCTGGACACCTCCTTTGTCAAAGCTCATGGTCTCCTGTTTACCAATAAGAATATGGAGAAGTTCGAGCCAACAGTAAAAGAATTCCTTGGTCTTTTGGATAATCAGATTGGTCGGGTGACCCGCAAGTTCATGGAACAGGGGTATCACATTGCTATTGCCAATTGCGTTGCCTTACTTGGTTTTGCTTCTAAAGACAATGTCCTGATGAAAGCCATCGCATCATCCGACGTGGAGATGGCTGGCTCTCCCTCTGATCATACTCCGCAGTCTTTATCTTTCACCAACTCTCAGCGACTCAGCAACGGTACTATAAAAATCGTTTTACAGCGGATTGGGGATCCCAATGTTTTGCCTTTCATTCACGTCACTCTTGTTTTTATGCTCTATATGTCACGCCATCCCGGCGTTATGGGTCTTCTTCAAGCCGAATTTCCCTGGACCCTTTTGGCTACGATGCTCAATACGTTACACGCTTCCTACGGGCCCACAAATTGGGTTGAGGATGAAGGCTTTCCTAAAGCAGAAAAAGACGACGTTCGTCCTTTCCCAGAGGACTTTGCAATGCACGGCTTATTATGGACCGACCGCTATTTCCCCGAGGGATTTCTCGCAAATGAAAAGATTGACGAAGAGGAGAAGTACCATGAGTTACCTTCCATGACCGCGGAAAGAAAGGAGCGTATCTTATGGATCGGGCGGAGGATATCCAACCGCGGCCATGGATTGGTTTTTGATGGGAAACGTTTCTCGGCGCCAGGAACAGGACTCCAACTTGAACCTCCCGAGAGATCATTGACATATGCTTCTGCAACTACTGCCGGGGAAATATGGTCACCGAGTGCTGAGGATATTGAATCAGATGCCGAAGAAGACTTGCCAGCTGGGCTTGCGGCAAATCATTCCCCTCATGATTGAGTTCCTTTGGTGTTTGGTGATACCAACCTGGTCACCTGTTTGGAATAAAATTACCAAGGACATGAAAAGCATAAATACACAGTCGGCTACCTTGCGAGTTATACATACATCCGCACGTATGTTCTCAGACTTATATTGGACAAGTCCTCTGGCGTGTCTTGACCGACCCAGTCTGACTGTTTCGCCAGGACAATTTACTTCGCCTGTCGTACAGCTTGCAGCCTCTCTGGAGAAGTGGAATCAATGCCGGTGTCAAGGAGGACCTGTGTGGTGTGGGGATTTGTGGAAGTTTATTTATTGGTGGCTCTTGTCGCCTCGCGATTTACAAATCTCTTTCCGTGTTGAGGACTTTGTGAAGTTGAAGCCCCACATGGCTTCTCGGCCGTGTCGCCTGGCATTGTCTCTTTACAATCCGTTCTCTGGAGGCGATTCGCAGCATGCCCCTCTCCAAATCAATACGTTGTGTCAACAGGCACCCGAAACGCTCGCTGGATCAAAGCTGGAAGATCAGGAGCATGTAATGCACCTTTCATGTATAAAAGTTCAACCCAATTTATTTTACCAAGCTGTAGTGTCAGTAAATCGACCTCCTTTCTACAAACGTGAGTCTGCCTCGATGACTTTCTTGTAGTTAACCGAAACTCACGGTTTAATAACTGGTATGAGTTCATTTGTGGTCGACCTCCCACGGTATGCAATCTTGAGGCTCTCGCTTTCCGATAGACGCTAATCCGATGCATTTTTGTCCACGAGATGATCTCTGGTGTTGCACAACGCACAGGTCCAATCATGGCGACACGCTTCCCCAACCGGCTTGTCAAACTTCCGAATCGTCTGCCTCTCGATCTTCACTGGACGCCATACCACAAAAATCAGGTATCGTCCCCCACCATTTCCAAATCCAAAGGATCATCATTTTAAAAACAAGGTCGTGAACATCGATATCATTTCCCGCGCTCCTTGTTTTCGACGCCTTTTCCAGGTATTCTTCGATCGCCAACATGCCACTGTCTTTTCGCCTCGTTCTTGTCTGCATTCCGACCGAGCAACGTCACATCAATTGGAATTGGGATGTTGGAATGTCACACGAGGCTGAGGCTGAGATTGAAGCCTATTTCCGCCTACTTACAGGGTGGATCGACGCCAGGAGTCTTCCTTCCTTCCTTGCTTGAGTTCGGTGGCCGAATCGAGAAAACTCCTTTTTTTGTAGTTGGTGACACAAATCAAGGGGCCAGATCGCTTCGCCCTGTGCTGAAATTGCAGTGCTTCGGTGAGCCTTCACTTCATGATTCCGACGAAGAAGCGCTCAGGACTCAGAAATTGTGACGGTATTCCGCCTCGAGGGCGCTAAAATCGCCTTGCGCAAGGAATGAAGGGGTGGGCGCGGAAAGTGATCAATCCGGCGAAGGATCGTAAGGCAAAAGGTTTCGGTTTCAGACAGGCCATTGAATCCCTCAAGATTGTGGCTATGTCCGCATGGTCATAGTCACTAATTATACCACGAATGCGGGGAACGAATACCAATCCTCAAGTGAGGAATCGGCGATACCGATACCGTAGGGCTGAGTGGGTCCTGCCTGCATGAGCGTTGGAAGTTGGGGGAATGTAAGCTGCGGCTGAAGGAGCGAGGGTCTGCAAGGCAGATTCTCACGTCAACTAACATCGGCTTATTTCTACTTTAACAGAACAAAAATATACCACTAGTAGCTTAGATGAAGAATTTGAAATTGTTCTCGCCAACAGCCCCTCCAGCCCTACAAAAGCGGGCCGGGGGCTCCCGTGATCAAGGCGCCGTTCAAGCATCCAATGAGCTGCGTAAAGAATACGGTGGCGAGCATACGATGTTCCTCTGTAGGCGCAACCCAAGATGTGATAGTAGCGCTGAGAGGGCAGTCTGCCCCGATTCCTGAAACGGCGACTCGCTGCTAGGCAGACAGGCAGACTCGTGCCAGTGTGCCTGAATTTAGGGCAGGGAATGCAGGGTTTCGGAAACGGGATTTCATTTGGGGGGTGAGGCGAGCGGGGAGGTGTTCATCTGATGTTGAAAAACTGAAGGCCCGTGCCGGTCCAGCGGGTAAGGAGTCATCAAATATTGGAGTCTCTGGTGAGTCCTGTGGGGGTGGGCAAATTAGGCGCCAGCGTTTTGAGTGTCGGAAGCGCCGAGTGGCAGGCTGCAATTTTGAGACCTCCTGCCATGGTCTGTTGGGTTTGAAGAGTTTGGGGTGAGGCAGAGTATTGTTGGAAGGCAGCAAATTTACGGTATTTTCATTGCGGGTTTGTGGAAGACGGTTGCGAAGAGCGGGGATGGAAAGGGGGTTCGCTTAATATGAAGCGAGACTTTGTTTTCACCTAGTAGCACTTGGAAACGAGAGAAATTTGTTGCACATTGTGGGAAGAGATGGACTGTCTTGACGCACATTGCACCTCTCAGGATCCTCCTTTGTTGTAAATATATGTTTGTTGTACATCGCAAATCTCACCTTTCAGACAGCAGGTCCTAATACCTCAATATCTTGCGAAGATGAGTGAGTTGAGCGGGAATCCTTTCATCTCAAGCACAGCCTTCAGACAATTCGGAATTCAACACTCGCCCGTGGGCCGGGACATATATCGCAAAATAATGAATTCCACTGTCAATGTAAGCCTTACCTCCTTTTCCTTTACTCCCAAACATACAAAATTGGACATAACTAACACTAATTCAGCAGGCTTTTAATACTATGCATATTCACGGTTTTTCCTTTGGACAGGACTTGAGTGTTACAAAGGGAATCCTGCCCTTTGATCTGAAGATTAAGCTTCAGATTAAGGAGTGACGCCAAAGGAGCTTACGCAAGTAATCTCTATTGAGATCCAAACCGAGTCATTTGTGGTGAACGAATAACATCCTCAATTCAAACGAGCGAGGTTGGGCCGATTTGGTTGCGCCAACTATGAAGCGGATGGGTTTGATTTTAGGCTCCTCTGACCCGAATAATCAACAAGATTGCGCTACCAAAGCAGAACCTATGGTTACAGACAACGGCTTGTGAGTTACAAATGCTCCTTTCCCTTCTCTCTGCTTCCCAGTCTGACGTTGTATCAAGACCGCACTTAGTAAAATCAAGTTTGTGAGAAGTGGAGTTGTCCGGACGGAAGGTTTGCTCTTCTCCATCCTGATGTTGTGCACTGAATCAAATTGCATGCATATAATTTTAGAGCTCTGCTCACAATTGCGTGATTTACCAATCACTACCAACTTCTAATCTTCACCTCTTATTCGCGTTTGATTTGGGGTTGGTTGACTGTCACTGAAAGTCAACCACTGCTCTTGCACTATCCTAGAATTCCTTGCCGTGTAAACAACAACAACGTATGTAGCATATTCAACAGCATCCTGGACCAAGGTTGTTTCTCCCTCCAGCTTGCCATTACTGGCTTAAATCTTTCCCGATGTTTCCCAGCGCATGTAGATATTTCCACGTCTGTCATATGTACGCCGGGAACTTCAATTCAACGTGGTAGGGGAAAGGTTCTGCCCCGAAATACAGCAATTGTAATTCTAGTTCCAAAACTTTCGCAGGCACTCGGTCAATATTCAACAGCCATCACAGACGCCACCAGCTCCCAACTACATGTTCTTACTCGATAATAGAATTAACTTGAAATCACCAATCGAACAATGCAGACTGCGCAATTAACGCACCAATTTAGCCATCACTCTCCCCCAAGGCGGTAGGGCGACGAAAATCTGGGATGACCCATCAAACAACCCCTGATATATCATTTATCAATCATTTAAGCCTTCGGCAATTTCATCCAACCACTATCTACAGGAGTTCTTCAAAGTTCATTTCCCTGAAACGAATCGCGAGACACAATAGGTAGGGTCTGGGGTTTTCTTTCCCATTTCCTTTTCCCAGGTGACATGAAGATCGACAGGCAGCTTGAGGTTTTTGCGCAGAGGGAGACGGATCCGATCGATTGCCATTCACTGGACCCGATCTTATTCCGTTGCAATCAAGTGCATCAAGCCTTCCGAGATTGCTATGCCCTCCATGTATTTGAGACAAACTGTGCAACCTCTGACAGATCTCCTGAACGTGGGTGCGAAAGTATCCAAAGCTCACCTCTCTTCTCGGTAATATGCCTCCAAGATGTAGGGACGTGATCCGAGCCTTGTAGGGGAATTTCCCGCAGCTGGTGAACCAGTGCGTGACAGTTAAGGATCTCCCTGGATAAGCTCTTTATCTCCTCCTAAAATAACTCTATTTCTGTATGATTTTTTGGGGAGCGACGATTACATCTTCAAAGAGGATCTTGCGCGTTTGTGCTCCGGAGTATGTAATCATGTGACACCAACAGCTCTCTCACAAACATATACCATGATTTTGAGGTGGAAATCTTGCTAATTTAATTGAATGCCCGATAGGGAATAGCTCATGTTCAATCCATCTATAAACTCCATATATTGAGGAACAAGTAAGGCACAAATCTGACGCTTCCAAATTTAGGGGCTGCCTTGTGCTGTTGCTTTCTTGCCGCCTCACCGCCTCTTCCTGGTCCCTATTAAATCAAGCATACGACATGCATTATACAGCTTAGGGTTGCATTGGGGATGTTCTAAACTTAGGGACTAGAGAAACCTATTTCCCGAAGCGCCTCCACTTTAACCGCCAATCCAGTCCTGGTATCTATTCCAACGGAAGCCAACATATGACTGCAGGACGAGGCAACACCAACCAACTTGATCCTTTGCCCGAGTGATATGATACTCTTCCCACTCTGGCGTGTTGTGATTTATCGATATGCAACTTCCGGAGCCTCGTATTTTGGGCTGAAAAAGCAAGCGGTATACGAGACAACGATATTACAGAAGCTGAAAGTCGGTGACATTCTAGACCAAATTTCCAACAAGGCAACCAAACACCGATTGCCAATACGCCCAGGTTTTATGAAAGAAATGGATGTGTGGAGAGAGATAGGCTTGGAATGTTCCAGGAAACTGGGCACGTTATCGATCCACCTCGTATTTGCTTTTGTTATTTGCAAATCGACGATCGAGGGTCATATTAGAGCCAGAGTATAGCCGCAAATGTTCTTGATTGTTGGCATTGGTTTAGTTATTTTAGTTTTTATTGCGATTGGTTCTAGCCTGGCCAATGCCATCTCCAAACAGGGGTTGTCCTCGATTTCTCCAGAAGAACCTTGCGAATGAAATGCTTCAGAACCTCAAGTTCGCTGAACTGTTCGGGCCTTTATGTCCTGAAAAAACCAATCAAGTAATGAAGCCCATCTGCGAGCTTTGTCTTAGAGTGAGAGGCTACAGAAGCGAGACCAAGATCACGATCACGATCACCTCGACTTCGAGGCTCATTCGCGAAAATGTGCCCAAAGTGTATGGGCGCTGCCACACTGGATAAGCAAATGAAAGAAGGAAAAGGTCTCTCGCCGAGACATTTAGTGGGGGACTTATGGTCGGGCCAAGTCCGGATTTGGACTTGCTCTGCTTTCCCCTATTCTTTCCAAGCGAGGTGAAATGGCATCGTCAACTTACTTCAAGACAGTTCAATGCTAGTCCATGCTTCCTTCCTCTCAAGCTGCGATCATGCACTTCGTCCCATAGAATGCGGTCAACTCCTAGTTAATTCTACTTCGTTTCAATTTCTCAACGCCTTGGCCACTCGGGCGTACCTTCCTCACTCCAATACATAAAGAGCAAAGAAGATCGAACAGCAGGTGGCTTCCTTTCTACCTAATTACAACTCTAACCCATGCCCATGCAAGTTCACAAATAGCTCCTCATCAGGGCCTCCCAACTCCTTCCCAGCCTGGAGCTTCCGAATCTCTTGTCGCAACGCAAATTGAATCGCAATACAGAGTTGAGTCCCCTCTTCATGATCTAACTTGATTCTAGGTCCCTCTCCCAAAGCAAGATTCTTTCTTTCAGCATCCGAGATATCCGTCGCACCACGTGGACCTCCAAGACGGGGAATGATATGGAAATGAGAATGTGGGACTGTTTGTCCCGCTTCTGATCCTACCAGGAAGTCAACATACTGCACGAAGTTGGTTTCGAGAAGCTTGCCATTCGCCTGAATGATATTCCAGCCTGCCTCTTCAGTTGTAGTTCCCAGCACTTTGAGCAAAGCCCGAGTGAGAATGGGAAGCCAGACCCCCAAAGCAGCGGCCTCTGCAACTGTCATATCAGTGGCTTTCTCACAATGTCTTCGCGGACAGAGGAGAATATGTCCTGGTGTCACTGGAGCAATATCGAGGAATGCGATGACTATTGCGGTTGACAGGACCGGATATGCGGAACCCAGCGGGGTAGTCAAGACCTTGGGTTCAGTTGCTGGCGGGATGGAATCAGCGATCATACAGAAAGGACAAGACATTTTGAAAGTTTGGGCGTTATTCAAGGTGTTCTTGGGAGGTTTATAATTTTTGCAGAGTCAAGGAAGAGAGTTGACGAAGTGCGGTGAGAAGCGACCGATGAGCTGACGCACATCCCTCTCAAAATCAAGGAAGCCGTTTTGACAATCACATTTGGCCAAAAATTGTTCTTTAGAGTTACAGCTAGGTTTGTATAATTTATAGGCAAAAGACTTCTCAATCAATGGGACTTTCGTCACCTGGTGACTTCAGTTCTCTACTACAAAAGTTTCTCGCATTTCCGATAAAGTGTCATGGTGCGTCGTACAACCAACCGATCAAAGCAAACCCGAACACTGCAGCTCTGATTATTAATCCCAACCGCCGAAGTACATCGCCCTAATAGGTTATTTCCCCGGCCTTCAGGGGCAGTGATTCAGCCTGTAGACAACTGCTGAGAAGTTGGCAGCTATCCCCGGTAATACGCAAAATCCGCACCGAACCTCCAACTCTCGACCTCTGCTTCAATTCGGTAACCCTGATGCCATTTAAACACAAAGACGAGGGAACCATGCTGCCACCGTATGTATTTCTCTGTCTTTTCAGTTTTCACACAGGCCAAGACTTCAATTCGTTCACCTGAGATGGTTTTCGCAGCTGGGCTTTCAAGAATAGTAAAGTCTCAACTTGCGATAACCTTCAATGCCCAGATACTCGTCGGAAGATGTAGTTCCAACTGGTGTATAAAGAGTGCTTGGTAAGGTTCACAGATAGTTTCAATCTCATCATCATTCCATCGCTTCATCGTCATATCTTCGCACTTATAATTCTGACAGCAAGCTGATATTCTGTCTCTCAACCAGTCACCTCTCAATAGAAATGCCACTTCCAACGTACGAAAACCAGTCAACTTGGAAAGAAATCCAAAAGTTCCTCCCTGAGTCTATTCATTTCGACGAAAGCCACACCCGTCGAAGAAGGGTGGGGAAACCGCGGTCACACCATCCATCTTGATAGATGGCGAAGCCCAGATGCCAAGGTTTGAGTCATAATGCATCACGGAGTCGGCACCAATGGTCGTCAAATGTCCCTGTTATTAAGTGTCCCTTTCCTCAATGCGGGGTCTAAGCAGTTGCCGTCGATATGCCAATGTACGGCATGACAAAGGTGGCTGCTGGAACAACAGTCGCCTGCGAGGATTGGGTCAACATCGGTGATGACTTTGTCAACTTTGAGCTTGAGCATGATCCAAGGCCCGTTGTCCTCTATGGTCTCAGAGCTGAAAGGATGCTCACTTCCTACATTGCCGCGCTCAACAAGTCAAAGGTATCATTGGCATGACCTTCTTGGACACCCAAATTCAACAAAGTCCGAGACGAAAGCTGTCGAAACCTCTTCATGTCCCGTGTCGGCGTGCCATCCGCTCAGCTCTTCGCACCAATTCCTTTCCTGCGCAACATCTCGATTCCGTTCTACTTGGCCTCCAAGATGTGGGTACTCGCCAACGACACTGCAGCAATGAGGATCTTCATGGGTGACAGAACATCCGCCGCACATTGGACTTCAATGCGTTTCCTCTCCTAGTTCATGAACTACAAGCCTGTGGTTCTACCAGAGGGTTCACAGCGTGCCCGATTCTTCTGACGAACCTGAGAAGGACCTCTGGACTCCTTTGCTCTTGGCTGAATTGTTCTTGAAGAGAGTTAAGAAGGTTGATGTTAAGATTGTGATGTCGGAGAACGCGGGACATTATTATCTGGAACAGCTTGGTCGGGGACAGATGCATGAGGCCATCCTATTATTTCTCAAGGGTATCGAGGCTTCCCTTTAGATTCTGTCAAGATTAGTTTCCTTTGTGACTTTCGATATTTTGAGCCTATTAGACTAGAACGTGTTGTGATATCCTTGGGAGCTTTGGTTTATTTTTCTGGGTCATTGTCCTGAAAAGTAATGGAAATCTTGGTACAATAACAACTTTTGCATTTATGAAATGTTGAAGCCTCACTTAAGAAACTGACATGCAGTGACAGCCATCTATTCTGAAAATTATCGCACAGGTGGCCCCACTAGGGCCGTCGACCGAATATTCTGATAATTGAGAAATGTGTGAAAACTTTAGTGACCGAACACCCATCTCGCACTCGTCACTCGGTCAAGTTAGATGACATGCTAGATGCTAATTGCGATCTGGTAAATGACTAGTGCTGACAGCTGCTGCCACGCATCGACCTCATTGGGCTGTATCAAACCTCGCACATTTAGACAGGAATAAGTTGAAGAGAAACTCTCGATAAGGTACTTCTCCCTTCGATCCAGGGCACTTTCCACTCCGCTCTGCTTGCTTCAATTGATGATAACGTGAGATTCCAGCCTAAATATGCCTTCGTGTAGTTTGTTCCATCAAGTGACTTTGGAAAGGCACATGAATATAATTTGATCAGAGGCATGAAAGAAGATATAGAGTGCGGACCTCCTTGCCATGGAGGCTTTAGCTTTCCACTGCATTGAGAAGTTGAATGAGCCCACGTGATACACCTTTCTTGCAACTTCGTAAACGACAATGACTTCGACACAACCCAACTCAGAGAGATATGGCGAGAGACTCTACTCTCAGATCATCGATGATAGAGCCAGATCTGGATACTCGAGGACGTTTGCACTGCTCCCGAAAAGCACAAACTCTTCAGAAGGGTTTGAAAGCATCAGCTACCACGTCTTGCCAATGCTGTGAACCGGGTTTGCTGGTGGCTCGATGCTAAATTTCCCGGTGTTGAAGAAAGAGAAAATCCTTTTGCATACTTTGGCCCCAATGATCTTCGATATATTGCTTTCTTCTTCGCTGCATGAAAGACTGGTCGAAAAGTGCGTTAAGAAGTCTGCCTGCCCAACTTTTCTCATGCAACTCTAGACCCTCTTTGCTTCGCAACGGAACACTATCGAAGCCCAGTTATATAGGTCTCTTCAAAAGGTCGATTGCAAGAACATTGTTTCGTGCGCGTCCCAAGACCAGATGTTGCAACATGTTTTCGATGCTGTGCCTCACATTCGCAAGGTCCACGCGCCAACACCGTCCAGCATCCATGCTGAAGATTCCGTCCCTCATTGCCCTTACGACGTGACTTTCGAAACGGCTGCGAATTACGATATCGTGGCAATCCATACTTCTGGAACTTCGGGGAATCCGAAGCCTATCGGATGGAACACAAGATATCTCAGTAAGATAGACTAGGGAAATGACCTCCTGGTTCTTCAAGGAGCGCCATTGGTCAAAACAACACTTTGGCATGAAAATGCACTATGTCTACTTCCTTGTTTTCATGTAAGATCCCCACAATTGTTTCTTCCCGGGAACTATAGAGTAGTGAAAGCGATTTGAGGCAGGCGGACTGACCTTTCATATATTTACCGTGATATATGAGATGAACCTTGTTTTTGGACACCCAAGCGTTCCCATGACTGCGGAGTATGTCGTGCAATTATTGAAGCCAGGAATCATTAATGTGATTGCTGCTCCACCATCCATCCTTGAGGACCTAGCGAAAGACCCGTCTGGACTTCAGGACTTGACTAAACTGAAACACGTCTCCTACGGTGGAGGCCCTCATCGACCAGAGATAGGCAACGTTCTTTCTGGAGTCCTCACGCATTTGTTCAGCTTTCTCGGTGGAACCGAAATGGGATAGCACCACCTCATCGCTGGTGGTAACGAGGTCTGGGACAAAATGAGATGGTACGAGAATATTGGCTATGAATTCGAAGAGATATCGGACGGAGTGACGAGCAGGTCATCGTGAACGACAAACACACGAACAAATATTAAGTTGTTTTCGATGTATTTCCCGATATCTTAGAGTTCCGCACCAAGGATCAGTATTCGCCACACCCAACAACTCCGGGTGGTGGAAGTACAGAAGGAGAGCTGACGATTTGATTGTTCTCTCAAACGGGGAGAAGATAAATCCAATTCCCATGGAAAACGTGATTCTTTCGGACCCTTTTGTCAAATCTGTGCTGATCGTTGGTGAGTACCGATTCAGTCCGTCTTTGCTGGTCGAGATGAAGCATGACAATGAACCAAAAACAGACGTAGAACGACTGGAAGCGATGAGGAAGATATGGCCAACAGTCCAAGAGTCAAATTGATTCGCTCCCGGGCTCGCGAAGAGTCCGAAATCTCTCATACTTTTTGCAACATGCGGAAACCATTCTTGAGGGCTGGAAAGGGTACTGTGTAAAGGCGGATGACCGTGAAATTATATTCCAAGGAACTTGATCAACTGCTCTCTTCACAGCAAAACGATCCGCTGATTGAAGGCCTAACGTTGGAGACTTCAAGGTCTTCAGAAAGCGTCAAAACCTTCACAGGGGAGATCTATAGCCAAGCCCTGGAGATAAAAGATTTGCATGGCTCTTATGATGCGTTTTATCGTGGCATGGATTCTTTGAAAGTTCTTCTGGTCGTCCAGCGGTTTAGAGCAGCAGTACATACCATTGGAGCGTTCATATTCCTGGAAGAGATCAATCCTCGATTGATCTACTCATCTCCATCTGTTGACAAGATGACAGAAGAAATTCTCGGCCTCGCCCACAAAATGGAAGGAATAGAACAAAATCACGCGAGAGGTCAAGATGAAAAACTTACTCGAACAGTACTCGCGTGGTCTACCTTCTTCCATCCCTGCAGGAAAGCAGGCAAACTCCTCCAGAATGTCCTCTTGACTGGGACAACAGGCTCATTAGGAAGTTATCTTTTGGCGGCTTTCGACAACATGCCCAATTCCGAAGTCGGCAAAATTTACTGTCTCAACCGATCGCCAAATTCGAAAGATAGACAGAAGAAGTCCAGTATAGCCCGTGGTCTGAACACCGCCTGGGAAAATGAGCGGGTTGAATTTCTTCAGGCTGACTTGTCACAACGAGAACTTGGACTTGGACCAGAGAAATATGCCGAGCCCTTGAACAATACCACTGTTGTTATACATAACGATTGGCAGGTGGACTTCAATTTTATCCTCGACTCCTTCGAATCATGGATTCGAGGCGTCCGAAACTTGCTCGACTTCAGCGCTCAGTCTGCACATGAAGCGCCGCTGATATTTATGTCAAGCGTATCGATTGCTCATGGGTTGATGGTGTTACACCCCGGCGAGATGGTCCCTGAGGCAGTTCCGGATGACTTCGATGCTCCCGAGCAAATTGGATATGCAGAGTCGAAGTCTATATGAGAGCATCTTGTCCAGAATTTCTCTAGATCCTCGGGCATCCCAAGTACTATTCTGCGGACGGGGCAGATTACGGGACCGCTGGAAGGGAACTGTGTATGGAATAGAAATGAATGGCTTCCAAGCATTGTGACGAGTTCGAAGCACCTTGGCGCTCTCCCTGAGACATTGGGGACCTTTGAAGCTGTAGACCGGATCCCTGTGGATGTGCTGGCCTTGACCATGCTGGAACTTGTGAAAAACACCCTCCGCCGGAACGGTATGCGTACAATGGTGTACAATTTGGTAAACTCTCGGACAACGATATGGTCTGCTCTAGTCCCACACGTTCAAACGATCGCCGGAATCGAGAAACTGGTAGCGTTGAGAGAGTGGGTAGAGATCTTGGAGCAGAGCAGCCTTGAAAGTAATGGAGCTATCGTTGAGATAAACCTTGCATTGAAGCTTCTCGATTTCATGCGTGGGTTGAGTCTGAAGGAAGGGCCTTCAAATGCGAGGTCAATGTATGAGGTGAAGGCGCTTCTTCGGGATAGTCAGCAAGCATCTGAACCCACGAAGGTAACTGTAGAATGGATAGGAAAATGGATGAGGCTATGGGGGCTTTGACTGTGCTGTAAAGAAGCATCGTATCTGGGATGGGAGGATATTGTACACCCGTGTTCCTCGAGGCATTTTGTATCCTTCTCCCTCCTGAAATCCCATCTCTCCCACGTTTCCCATCGACACCGGTTCAAGTATTCTGGACAACACTTGAGTTGCATTCTGAGATTTCGTTGACCTCAGCCGTCAATGGAAGTCCATCTTCAAGCAAGCGCTCGCGCGCATGATTAGAGGGCATTGATTTTCTGTATCCGGTGTTTGTTAGCTGTAAAGCGATAAACAAGTTGGTCAAGGGCGAAGAGAATACCATTTTGATTGATGTGTAAACGCTTCGTCATGGCGATTCGTTGGTGGTAGTAATGGGAGAATCATGATGTTGGGTTCAGGTTCAGCTCACAGCGCTTTCGTAGCTCCCGAGGACCCTGGCATCACCGAGGCCAGGCGCTGCTAAGCACTTGGAATCATATATTTCACGGGGCTTGCCAATTTGGGATGATTTGGCATTGTAGTAAGAGTAGGGTGGCAGTCTGTCTTTTACAAAGGCTAATCAACATGGATGTGAAAGAAGTAAGTTGCTTATCCTATATAGACCTGTAAATCCCCTCTTAGAACAGTAATCGAGTCCTTCTTTCCCAACCAACAATAGCAGCAACCGAAAACGTCAAGTCCTCGCTCATGCTTTCATGATCCATTGATTCATTTGTTGGGGGAGGACTCCTAAGTGATAATTAGTCAGAAGGTTGGAAATCAATTGCTGCCTTTGAAGCAAAGTACTATCGTCACGGCAAAAACTATTTGTGTAACCTCTCTTCACTCGAAGCACTTCAAGAAATGTCAGCCACGATCTAATCTAGAGCCAAAGGGGAGGAAGGCGAGTCGCATGATTTTAAATATTGTCCTGTTTTAATGGAATATAATTTATTTGCGTAGAGGGGTTAGACTTTTGAAGTGCTGGAAGTAAAAGCGAAACGAAGCAAGCGAAATTTTCACTCCTCATTGACCCGATTTACATCTTCAAATTTGAATCATTCCTGGAAGAAAGGCGTCACGAAATCGTGCCCAATAACTCTCAGAGGGTGAAAGTGAAACAGCAACGACTCCTTCAGCCAAGAAAGGGGCGGTCCGGGGATCCCCACAAACTGGCTTGACATTGTTGACATTCACTTAAACATCAACAAGAATGATTTTGCTTTGTTGGATCCCAGGGATGCTCTGCATAGAATTTCTTTCAAAAAAAAAAATTTGATCTCAACTCTCATGAGAATTACAAATTACAAGCACATAAGTTAATTGGTGTGTTCACCAAGCTTTATGGTGCTCTTGGTGCTATAGTGGGTGAGGAGAGTGTGAGGGTTTTCTTGACAGGTCTGATTGGATGCATGCACTCGCCGAATGTTGGTGAGGGTAAAAAGGGAAAGTTATTTCAATAATTTGGGGAATTGGCAAGCTGATAGTTTGCGACGGTTGAATTCGCAAATCAGTAAGCTAGCAGTCACTTGCTGCTTGAGAAAATTCATAAACATATTAAGAGAAACACATTTGAAGTGAAATTATATCACAAATTGACTTAATATCCAGGAGAACAGAGCTATTCAAAGACATGTCTTGAATATATATTAAGCAGCATACGAGAGACGCCATACTATTAAAAATCCGAAATACCCCAGTATCAAAGTAGCCAAATTCTCAACAAAAGGAAAATTACGACTTAAAAACAGATGCAGAATAACTTCAGATCTCTACGAAAAGATCTGCTCCTCATCTCTTCGTCTTACTCCTTGATGCTCTCCAAAGAGGGTCCATTTCTTTTGCCTCTTCGACATGTTCCTGTTCTTCCTTATTCTCACTCCATGAGCCCAGATCGATACTGAAAATCAAGAACAGATAACGACAACCCCCCATCAGAGTTAATCTGGCCACCGCCTTCGTCCTTTACAAAAGATACGTAAACTTCAAACATAATACTGAGCGCAGCAGTGCTCATGTAGCGAAGATCTCTATGAAGGCTGCGTCGCCTGAGTTCCGCCTCCAGTGCCGCTCGCAGGCTCTCAGGGTCCCAAGCCAGTTGTTGATACATTTCTGCGTACGTGGGATGGTGTTCGTTGGGATTTGCCCGAATCCGTTCCAAGGTGGCGAGGGCTTGCTCAAGCTGGTGATCAAAGTTGTCTATTAGCTTTCAGATTTCTTGGCTCTGATCATCCAATATACCCCCATCTGGAAAAGGAGATTCCAAGTGCCTGTTCGTGAAGATGGCTGTTAGTCGCCACATATATAATTTTATGAGCTTGACTTACCAAGAACCCACCAAGTCAACGTCTGTCTGCTGTCGTAAGGATCAAGATCGCTGTAGTCATGAGCCTCATCATCCGATGATTCTGACTCCTCAAACTTCACGTCCTTTGCTGGAGCCTTCTTGACCGACGCACTGTAGTCCTCATCTTCACCATCAAGGAACTCGTCCTCGCACGACGAAGGCTCCTTGTTCACTGTCTTCTGTTGACTTTTCTTGACAGGAAGCTTTTTTGCTGGAACTTTCTTGTTTGGAGCTTTCTCGGCCTGAGCATCTTGCTCAAACCTCCAACTCGTCATCAATATCGGACGATGAAACCTTTTTGGCCGGAGTCTTCTTGGCTGGAGTGGTCTTGATTGAAGCTTTCTTGGCCGGGGCATTCTTGACAACGGCAGCTCTGGTATACAGCCTTGTTTCTACGTATGAGACTACGTCCAGTTTCTTGATTCGGTCTGACCTCCTCGGCTTGTTTTTGGTCTGTAGAGCCATGGTGACGTTGAAGACCTGAGGCGTGCCAGAGAAGTTGAAGTTGAAGTTGAGTTAATGGCAAGGTTGACGGTGAGGCAATATCGGTATAGCGGAGGGCTACAAATGAATATAGGAAACAAGAAAACGGTCCTTTCCATATCCGGCGTTTTGGTGGCCCCATAACCACCCCACAATTATCGAGGTTATCCGTTACGCTGCGGCCAGCCTTGGGTTTCGCTTAAATTAAAGGAACATCAAAAGTCCTACTTTTTCAACTCCTCCTAATCTCTAGAATATTAATAAAATTGAAGTAAAACTTGCTCTATATGTAGTTTTAAAAGGTTTCTAAAAGTGTATAAGAGCATTTATACCCATTGTTTGTTTGTGGAATGGTATTTGAAGTTGAAATTGAGAGAAAAATTGTAAGCAAAACCCAAGGCTGGCCGCAGCGTAACGGATAAAAGCCGTTATTTCGAGGAACAACAACTAACCCGAGACTTGGTCACATTTCTTTCAACCTTATCGACATTCCGTCGTTTTTTTTTGGTTGTATGCATTTCTCGTCCCTTTTCAACCCTCTGCCACTAGCCCCGTCTCTCAAAGGAAGCAGGACCCACTCGTCGCGACTCCTTTTCCCCGTCTTTGTTCCCCATGCTTCACCCAGCGGATTGCCCCTCTCGAGAAGTCGAGACGCTTTCACAATAACGGACACTCGATAAATTCGATCGACATAGGTAGATTGGCGATGCGAATCGATATTCTATTCTCTACACTTGGATTGTACCTCTATGAACTGTCAGTACCTCTGTGGGCCAACTCATAAAACAGATTCAGCATTCTCCTTTCTTTCCGCCTTCAAATGCTCAAACACAATCATCATGATGATCGAACTTGGCACGCTTCGCGACAAGGTCGGGAGGAAGCCTGCATAAAATCCTTTGACCCCATTTTCCTTCATCACATTTCGAGCAACCTGTCTCAGCCCCTCTTGATCTGAATTTCTTGAGCCTGCTACCGCGCCTGCAGCCACCACCGTGTCGCTGGTTGCCACCTGATACCTCGTCTTCACTAATTCCAACGGATGGATGAACGCGGCAGAAGCCATAGCAGCAGTCCCCGCTCCGCATGCAATTTGGGCTACATGGCTTCTCTCCGACATGTTCCGCCTGATGTTCCCATACGTGGTCCACCATATAACGTTAAATGGAAGATAACTCGCAATCCCCATCACATATCCTCGGTAGAACCCCCGAAATCCCTCCTTCTTCGCAATTCCACGCAGTTGGTACAGCAGTTTGCCTTCTTCACCAGAGCGAGAGATCTGTAGCCGAGCTTTCAGGACTTCCATCGGTGTGAAGAGCACACTACCTGCAACCTCCGCAATGCAACCCGAGAGCTAGGTTTTGACCACTGTTAGCATTCTGAGGCACTTGGTGACCGCTCATAGTCCAGAGAACTGAAGGATTCTACTCACCGCGTCATTGATAGAGCCATCGCCGAGGTGTGGGAGGAGGGCGATCTGGGCGGCCTCACGGGTGGTAAGGTAAAGTGCAGTCGCCGGGGTCACAGTTATGAGCGTCACGCCGATGCCTCGATAGTATGCTCTCAGTGGGATAGATAGAAGTGGGCGGCGAGTAGACGTCTGGTATTGGACGGCGATGGTCTAGATAATGGTCAGCTTTGTTTCATGAGCAAGGTTTGGGGTTTCGCACATCAAGGGGAAACGTGACAACTTTCGAGATAATCGAGCCAGTAGCGCTTGCTCCAACGTTTCCAATCAGGCTTGTGATGTCCATTCCCCGAGAATGTTGAAGGGAAGATGCACAGAAGGGGATGAAGAAAGATTTTATCACGTGTGAAAATATTTTTGGAGGTCAAGCCTGATCCGATCACGTGCTGGAACCTGTATGACTCCAATTGGCCAGCGCTCCAGCGCTAAGGCACTCTCCCGACTGTAAGATTAACGACCCGTTTGTTTTTCTTTCAAACCGTCAACAAGATCGAGCAAGAAAATGCTGCCTTCGATCTTTGGGATTTTGGACACAAAGAATTCTAAGTTCAAGATATATCTTCGTCGATAGCTAAGGTTATGTCTCAGAATCATCGTTAGTCCCCTGGTTGCTCATTGTTCCGTCGGACTAACACTTCTAGCCTACCTCGGCCTTCAACTCCCCAGCAATGCACCTTTCGAATTAAAACCATCACATGGGAAAGGATGGGGTGCTTTTGCCACAAGGAAAATTGAGCGAGGGGCGAAGATCCTGGAAGAGAAGCCACTCTTTGTTATCCGGAAACATCACGACGAGATCACCGAAGAAGATGTCCGGAAAACCTTTCAACAGTCGACACCTCGTGGGAAGCAACAGTTTCTTTCCCTCCGCGACAATGCTGCCAGGCCTTTTTCAAGCATGAACTACGCATTCGCCGAGAACTCCTTCGCATTATCAGACAATCCACCAAAACACGGGCTATTCCTGATTCACTCGCGCTTCAACCATTCGTGTATACCCAATTGCAATGTCCCATCTACAAATGGAGAGATTATTGCAAGTTTTGCAACTAGGGACATTGTCGCGGGCGAGGAGATCACTTTTTGTTACAATACAGATTTCGAGTGCAGGACCAGAGGTGACCGACATCAAGTACTGCGCTTCACATGCGAATGCAAAGCCTGTCTACCCGGCACCCTTTTCCAACAACTCAGTGATACGCGACGAACACTTATTCGAGGGCTGCAGTACCTTACGTTAGGCCGCGATTTGGATGGACAGAGACAGGGTTCTGAATCCCCAATCATTATCGACTCCCAACTCAAGAAAGCAGCGGAAAATCTCGCTATCCAGGTTTCTGCTAGGTTAGTCTATAACCTCTTGGTCATGTCCCTACTAGACGAGGAGGAATTGATGAATGATTTCATGATCGGAAGAATGTATCCCGGCATATTGATATTGTCAACCTTGTTTAAAACCGAAGGCAATGCGAGACTTGCCAGGCTTGCCATGGAACAAAAGACTTGGCTGGAGAAGTTGTGTGTCGCTTTTAGACTCTGGGGACGAGGAGATGTAGTAGACTATGGCATTGCATTGCAATTACGAATGATACACGGACCTTCGTAAAACGCTAGTCTGAAGCAGTTTTGCAGTTATAGCCAAGTCTCCCAGCCTGTGATCCATATATTTTGGCTCATAACGCTGGCAGGGTTTCCCTTCCCTGAAGCCGCGATTTCTAGTTTTTTTGGGCTGAGATATCCAAACCGAGACTGCTTTTGAGCCTCTAACTCCTCGATGAAGTGCCCAATGTTGGTGGGCTATCGTGTGGTGCTTCGGCATGCTGCCATCCGGTAAATAGAATGGAATTCTGATGTTCTCATCATTTATCCTAAGGACAGTGCCGATTTGTCTCTTTTCCTCCCCAAGGATTAAATCTCATATGACTTCCGCACATCACGTCCTAATTACTCGAGATCGCGTTTACAAAGTTACGCATGTGAAGTGATTCTCCTGCTGCATTCATGTCTTTTCTGTAAAGAGCCGTTGTCGGTAAATACGACCAATCCAATTGGACCAAGCCATCTTTACGCCTCAAATCGGGGTCCACAGACGACATGATCTTCCCTAGAATCTCATTGCATTGGACATGCAGTGATAGATAGTCACATTTCATTACGAGATCTTGCACAGCTATGCCGTCTTGAAGAGCTGTCAGGAACTACACTGGAGTAGGCCTGTGGGACTCTGCCATCTACGGAGTAGAGTACCAGACGAGTTATTAACTCCGATGGGGGCCCACAACTCGGTTGCACTTTTCATTCGACAGATTAAAGGCAGTCGTGTCGCCCTGATGTCTCGACACTGACTCTTTTTCACATCAGCATAGATTAACTAAAATTATCCAGAGAGGAACATAAGGGTGGGAGCATCGACGCGTAGCTCAATATGTGACTCCTTGCTATCCTTCGAACTTTCTTCTCTTTGCCCTTCCCTGGCCGCGTCTGAAACACCAAGATTTTTTCTGAAAGGGAGGATCTCCATTCCCTTCCCGACAACTTCGATATTCGAAAAAACAATAGCAAGACGCCGTCCCACATCCCCAAGTTCACAAACACGATCTCTAAGAGCGCAACCACCGGTCAAGCTTCCAACAATACCTCTGTCGGTAATAAACAAGCGAAGGTTTGACAGTTTTAGGACCGGCTTCGCCCTTTCCAAAAGCTCTTGCCACCAGTTCCCTTCCTCCATGTTCCGTCTCGATGCTGGAAAATCGAATGTAGTAAGGATTCCCAAAGTTGCAGTTGGCAACGACTTGGAAATGAGTGAATATACCGATTTGTTTTTGAACACCTCATTGGAGACAGTTGATATGCTATTGCCTGAGCTTGAGGTAACTCCCAAATAGGTTGACTCTTGTTAAGATGGATTTCTGTGACTTTGGATAACTGATGACAAGAGGTTGAATATAGCACTCGGTTGCGCCTTTGGTCGTTCTTGATAGAGGACGGAGGATCCCAATCGTTCAAGGTATTCATTCTTGTCTGCGAGGATAAGACTCCCTAACAGGTCTTGATTGATGTGATCGATGTGATTATAGAACGCATCACCGAGCACCACAGGATAACAGCGAAACAATCCTGGTGATCTTTTAAATTCCAGTATCTTTCCGTTCGAGTTAAGAAACCAGATTATCCGACCACCATATTCGGCATTCAGACTGATTGCTGGGTGGGTGGGCATCCATTCTCGTATTCCATTTGCGAGCTTTTGGTGTACGGATATGCCAAGTGTTCAGAGAATGCCAGTTTGAGGACGTGCAACAGCGGTGAGCAGATCGGCTATATCCCTCATTGTGTCGGCGACGAAAGGTTCCAAAATTTTCTTGCCTGGATATATTTCGAGTTTCAAAGCTTGGGAAAGCATTTGGCTCAGCGAATAATCCGCCAGCACAGCATCTCAACAGCATGGTTGACCTAACCTTTGCATCCCAAATACTTTGTGTCGCCGATCAAAGCACTCCGAATCTGTGAATTGTATGACTAGGTCTACTAGAGATGGACTTGCGTGACCTTTTTAAGGTTCTCGAGCCACAGTCGATTACATCGTCACACATATAGCTGGAAAGGTGCTGAGTGGGCGATATCGACCAGAGGGAGATACTTGTAACGAGTAAGGTATCTCGGTAAGACTGGGAAGGTTTTCCAGCTCATATTCTACCGCACTTAAGAAATCCCAAGAGACAGAGTGCCGACCGCATTGGATCAAAATTTCTGAGGCCAAACAATTTCCTAGATAATCCAAAGAAGCGACGAGTACTTTCGACCGCAAAAGTCTCTTAACGCACGCCTGTGGAGACGAAATTCGTCCATTTCCGGCCTAAAACTACCTTTAGGATTCCGGCACTCGGACTCCGAGTTGCAAGGAGTGGTTGCAAAAAGAGCATCGCCAGAGTGGAATCACTTTCCCAATTGTTCTCCTGGCCAAGCCACGCAACAACCCTAATAGACCGAGAATAAATTTCTCCCCTTTTAGAAACTTGGTGATTTCGTTCTTTGATGTCGACTGATTGATACAAATGGCATCGATCCAAAGGACGCGACGTTCCAGTTAATCTCTCAAATAGTACAACGCCCACCACAGATTCTCTCGCACACTCACGCGGCCGGAATCCAATATAACCTCTCTCTCAGGGCCGTTCTCAGCTCCCCATTCGTAGGACAGCGCTTTATGAGACGGACTCAGGTCCAGGTTCGCAGTCTCAACGTGGCAGCTGACCTCTTCGCTTGCGGCTCGAACGAGTCGGATTTCATGCTCGTTAGTGTTCAAGGGGGAAATATAACTGAGTTTGATGATTCTCCATACTTGCTGCACTTGCAATCTGCAAGGAGGGATTTAGAAAGGCGAAGTGATGTCGTGGAGATGAGAGGGCTTCTCTCGGAATTTCCGCACGTTGTATGACATCACTGATCAGCAAAAATCAGCCATAATATTTTCGCTAACTCTCGTAGGAGTTACTTAGGAGATCATAAAACCCTTTTAAAAACGGTAATAAGGACAGGTCATTAACGCATATAGAATCATCAGAATGAATGGCGTACCAATCGGCGGCTTCTTTCCTGCCCAATACGATTAGAAATCCCTTTTAGATCTCGATCTCTAGCATCGAATTATAGATATTGCATCTTTCATTGGCTCTGGATATGCTCTCTCTTCTAAGGACTCTCTGATGTGAAGAGGTGCAGATTAGCAAGTGCCGATATAAATTTAAGAGCTTGTCCTCTTTTAACTTCCTCGCCCAAAGGAATACTCCAAGTTCCTTTCGTGCTCTCATGTAGGGCTCAGATTTCTTTTCACTACGAGTAAAAGTAGATCAGTACTTCTTTTTTTCGGGGGTTTGAGCTAGGTTCCGTTAACCCCGAGCCAAGAGTCAGTGTCTGCTGAATGCAGGGATTTCATAAAACAAGAGGGCGTAACAAGTTGATAGGAGAAAGTCGAGGTATGCTTAGATCCTATTGGGTTGTTTGAGCATGGCTGTTCCTAAGAGAGTCGCTGGATATTAGATTGGAACGTAGGCTGGTGTGTGTACTAAAACGTGGGGAGGCAATTCCGAGCGCAGTAATATATTCGAGGGTCATTTCAATAGGAATTCTGTTTGAATTGTAGCTAAGCGCTCTCTCAAAAATTATTTACATTAACAGCTTTCTAGGTTAGCTAGAAAGAAAGGCATTCACCCCCTGTCTTGAGTCTCGCTTAGTTTCCTAATCCATCGCCAAAATTGCTCCCCCCCCCAACACAGAAAAATGGGCGCACAACACTACTCATTCGCGCCAGCTCACGCACTCCACTACTCTGTCGACCAAAGGCTTAAGCATGGCAGATCGGATGGGATGCCCTGTTTTCTTTTGTCTATGGTCGTACACGGGTAGTCTCCGGAGTCCGGAGGGTGCTAAACCCAAGAACGGTAAAGTAGGGAACCTGATGAGGGCTATACCATCTGTGCTGGTTTAGAAGGCCAACGGAAGCTGCTAAGGAGTGATGGCTCATAACTATAGACACCCCTCTCCGCATCACCTCACCTTCCCAGCAAGACCGACGAAAAACTTCTTATTTAAAATTATAAAGCCATCGTCCCCAAGGCACGATATTCTGTTAGCGGGTCGACCCCCCTATTACCAATGCCGAGCACTCGGTAAATTCAAGCCTAGCACCGGTTCGGACCAAAGCATATGAGCATTAGTTCCGTGACACCATTTCATTTTGGGCTGGGACTCACAGATATATATTTAGAATTTTGCCTGTCGTCCTACCCAGAATCCCCATTACATCTTATTCCAGCATGGACGCCAACATCACCACCACCCAGCCAAAAGCTCATGAAGGCTTAATTAGAGAGGATCTGCTCCTGCTTCGCCACACTTTCGACCTTCACCTTGGCCGATCGCAAGAGGGTTTAGACCAAGCTTGCCCGAAGATTCGACGCGCACAAAACGTACCAGACTCTAGAGTCAAAGACTTACTAATAGTCGGCCTTGATATTGAAAGTCACCCCGATCAACTTATAAAATAGAACGGGGGAAACACAAAGAGGGGCTCTCTATATTAGATACTCGACATTTGAAGTCTAGCAGAGCAGACACGCAGCATGGATCAGGGCTACAAGCCCATCATTTTTGCATAGGTCCAGAGAAGTATTCCAAGAAAAGAGCAGGAGAATTTTGCTTCTGCCAATCCAGACATGTCGCTCTTGAAGATCTCTGGAATGAAATCCGGAAGTTGATCTCAAAGCGAGATCTTATTCTTGTTCACGACGGGAGGGGTGACCTTGTGTTCTCAAAGGCTGCTAAGATTCACCTACGACCGCTTTATATTGTGGATACTCCAAAAGCTGCTCAGCATCCGCTCGACCTTGATTATCGATGTACAATTGAAAGGATGCTATCGCTTCTAGGCTGTCCATTCAATCCTGAAATGCTTCACAATGCTAGCAACGACGCGAACTTTACACTTCGGGCCTTCATACTTATCGACGCTATCGATGCGACCAACGATCTAAATTTGAACCTTTCCGCAAAGCCCTCCTATCGATATTCGAAAAGATTGCCCCAGAACCCCTACCGCGAGAGGAATTTCTTGAAGCGGTGAAGGCACAATTGAAAGAGGGAGCACAATCGTGACCAAAATCGCAGACAGAGGAGGAATGCTCGATTGGAGGAGGACAGACCAAATTAGGGCAAATATGTCAATTCGAAGGCTTGGTTAGCTGCAAGAAGGTTCGCTGGAAGCCCAGTTCCAGCCGATGAAGGGACAAGAACGGGAAAAGGCCATTTAGAGGGCAGTAATATAGGTCAAAATAAAAGATGTACTTCCACATACGACCATAGACTGAGGAGAATTGGGCTATCTCCTTGCGCTCGATATACTCCAGACTCAAGAACGGTCGCTTTCCAGATACTCAAGCCCCAAGATCGGTCGCGTCGTAATTAGTTCTTGGTTCTCGGTTTTCAGAAGCGAGATTTCTAGTTGCTGCTTTTTAATAACGTTCGGCCAATCGAGACGGCAGAAATCTAGCCCGTGGACTTGCAAAAGCCGCTGCCCTAGCAGCTCAACATTTAGTACAAGGTTTCGAGCGCGCGGATCGAAGTAACTAAATCTCGGAGCTAAGATCCAGTAGCACGGAAATGCCAGGCAACCCAGGCGACCTTTTGCCGGCATACAATAGAGTTATCAAGCTAAGTGGAACAGGTAGCCTTACATAATATAATTGCTAACGAAATCGCCTTTTTCTCTAACTTATAAACGTGTTTGTCTTCCAGCCTCTTATATACTCACTCTCGCTTACTTTCATCCATAGCTCCTCTTTCCCCCCACATTATACAATTCCTCCACCAATACCAGGTATGGAGGATTCTCGAGCTCTCTCTCTGTTACATTTCTTAGGAGAACCCTCAGAGTCTAGAGTAATGAAAGGGGTATCGGGCTAGCACTCAAGATCAGATGCGATCCGGTATAGAAGTTAGGAGTACAAATCCGGGACTCTTAGTTGAAGAAATTCTAAGGGTGGAAAATGGAGTCTTCTTTCTCTTCAAGGCAAAACCTGCACATCTCAAACGGCGGAATATGCAAAATTATAGAAGGCTTACAAATCACGTATATAGGGAGCAAATAAGCACAAAGATAAATCAGGTGAAGTTCAAGAGTAAAAAAGGAACCTGAGCCAAGTAATTCGGGGACACTTAGGACTCTCAGAGCACTATTAGGCTTGACTACGAAGATCACGGCATAAAGTGACGGGATTACAGGGCATTTGTGCTTTACAGCACTTCAGTATCTTTTTTTTTAGCGCACTTGGGTACTAAATTACCCTATAATTCTAGGCCAATGCCCTAAAAGCACGCTAGAAAGTGGGAGCTAGGGGTACCCTACCTTTTTAGGGCTCCTCCCCTGTACTTACAAGGAACATCTCGCTAAAGAGCCCTATAGTAACTACCTATTTAGTATCCAAGCGCTATGGTTGCTCTGCCAGCAGCGCTATTTACTCCTAAGGACATCTCATACCTTGCGAATGTCTCATAGCGCCTCTTGAGATCTGCTTAGGGCATATGGCCTGGAGCCATAGGGCCTTATAGCGGGCTCAAGCCACTAAATTGTGTCCTGAGGGGTGCCAAGGGTCCAAATGCCCTGTAATCCCGTCACTTTATGCCGTGATCTTCGTAGGATAGTTGCTATCCACTATAGTCCCCTATAACTCTAGGCTTTACTCCCTAATTTGCGCTTATAAGACATTTACAAGGGGTATCGCCCTCTAAGCATGCCCCTATACTTATAGGGGTGAGTTCGCTAAATGGCCCTATAACCACAACTCGCTTACGAGCCTGCAGACATAAGTCCGTATTTTTAGGGCATTTCGCTGAGAAACGAGCCCCATAACTATTTTGGATGCTTGCATTTTATATTCAGAATTAAGTTTAAAAGCCTTCTAAGCTTAATCTATCCTTTTTCACTGTGTGCGCTTAAATTATAGGAGGTTTTAATCTGTATTTGTAAAGAAATTGTGAAGTGAAATGGGTGACTTTGGTTTTGTGATGTCTGAAAACATCACTAAAAACACGGACTTGTGTCAGCAGGCTCATTAGCGTCTAAGCGCTATAGTTACCCCACCAATAGACCTATAACTCTTGAAAATCTTCCACGAACTTGCGAGGGGCTTGTAGCATGCGCTTATGGCAAATGCCTGGAGCTATAGGGGGTTTTGGTAGTTAATTAAGTCAGAAATTAGGCGTATAGTGCCCTAAGAGCTTTGACCGTGCTGAAATGCCTTGTATTCCCGATTCTTTATGCCGTTATCTCCGTATACTCCCTGATATTAGTCAAGTGGGTGTTGATTGAAATTTCATCTAATGGATTCATGAATGTACCAAAGCTCAATCATAAAGCAAGCCGGCTTTTGGAATATCGATGTTGCGGGAAGTCGTAAAGCAGCAATGTCCGGGGACAATGCTTAGTTCTTTATTGTCGCTTTTGTCCTGACCCAGAACCTCGCAAGTGCTATTGCAATTCTCTTGTCTCTCGCGGCCAGTGTTAGTAGCTCTCATGACCACAACCTCATCGGCCTTTTGCTCCCCCCTATTGGTATTGTCTTCACCAGTAACTGCAACGGCATCATCACCATCTGTGGCCAATATTGGGTTTGGTGCTTGGCTAAGATTCTGAGGCATTGGCTGCAAGACTGCTCCCCACTTTACCGGGAATAGGTGAGCTTCCTTGTCTCCATCCGGGCGGTGGCAAGCAGCACTGATGATAACACTACAAGTCGCACTCAAAGGCATCCCACCTTTGTATCTGCGGAATCCCAAACCCACAAGTATTGCAATCATCACGGTACCAGAAATAATGGCTAAGTGGAGGGCGATTGTCAGCTCTGACGGGCAATAATTAGAGCTTCAGACTTTGGTGTGGGGTTCTCTAGAAATATGCTTGCTTACATGTAAAGATTGGCCAAAAGCTATAACCCATCGTAGTGAACCTCCCACTAAACGAACCATCGCTGCTGTACATCTCCACCGGCACTGCAAAGACGCTTTGGGAAAGTGTCCAGTGCAAAAATGATACCGCCACCATTTGCGGGATGCCATATCTCCAAGGCAAGGAGATGAAGTAGGTACTTCGTTGCAGGCCTACTGGTGATGAGACCCTTAGTGATCTTTTGTTAATTCCGTAGTTTTGCCATTCCATATTAGCAAGCAGAGTGGTTAGCAGGCTGTTGTACTGGAAGTGGATTGTCGATGTGATGAATTGCCAAAAGTTTGCGAATAGAATATAGCAAAAAAAGGCCACAGCGTACGGTGCTAGAATAGAAGCGTCAGTGTATATTAATGGGAGTCGTGATTGAAAGACTACCGTTCCAAAGGGCTCCCATTCTTCCTTGGGTTTCTGCATGTACAGAGCCAAACCCAAAGCTGATTGACTTGCCTATAGATCCTGTAGTAAAGCGAGTTTCATATAGGGTGAACCCTAGGAAGCCAAGGCCCACCAAGAGAAGAAGGAGGGAACTATATTTCGTTAGGGCTAGGAAGTTAAGCATGTGAGACGAGTCCTGGAAACGTACCTCAAGATTGTCAAAATCCAGCTGCGACGTGAGGCTCCTTTGAACCAAAGTTGATAATCCTGTTTATAATTTAGTGGGCTAGGTTGCAACCATTCTTGCGGAACTCGCTCGGATCTCTCCATCTTTGAGCAAAACGTCTTCGGTACTTGGCCTCTAGCTCTTGGCTCGTAAAGTTGGTTTCGAGCAACTAGACACATATGCGCCGTTTGGGGTTCTGGTTGCTTGAGGTAAGATGCGATAGCATCCCCTATGGTAACCAGGGGTTTGTGGCCAGTCCGAATGAGGTATACTGCTGTAAGTATGATACTTGCACATTTTGCTGCGTTGACTATGCAGACGACTGATTGCTGTTAGACCCGCTAAGTTACACTGCGACGAAAACTTACTTATCATTATTGGAAGTGAGAATGCCACACTACACATTTTGCTGAGATCAATTTCGCTGCTTAAACAATAATCGATCCTGGTTTGTACATTTGTCAGTCAGTCTGCGTCTGACACGCATGTGATATGTGATTTACTTGTATCCATATACGTTCCAATCTTGAACAATAGAGGGATCTGCCTTCCAGACATCTGGCTTCCTACAATCAAAGCTGTTGGAAGGCCCGCATTCCCAATAGTTGCCAGGTCCGCCAAATCCCCACACTCCCCACACAAACAGGAAAGTATTGTTGGAGAGAACTCTTGGGTCGACATTCATGACAGTATCGTATGTTGATACCATGATGACGTCGGAATGATCTCCAATCGGTGATTGATAACTCGTCAGACATTCGATTGCGGTTAGTCGCCTTGAAAATACACTTGCCGCCGCCTTCTCTTGAACCTGGTGAATCCATGTGGCATTCTTAATCCCGGATTGTATCTGCCAACTATTGACGCCCCAAGACGCCCCAAGTGTTGTATTGACTATTTCCCCGGGTGACAACTGCAGTGCACCCTTGACTTCCATGCTCAGGCGTCTAGTTACAGTGGCTGTTGTAGAATTGACATCGATATTGCCGCCGGAAAGGAAGGCAGGTGTGACCACAAATAATGTAGAACTGTTTAACGGAAGTGTGGATAGAATTGCGGAGTTATACCTGCGCCGATAAGTTTGGCTCCCCAAGAAGGGTGCCCCAAGTTTTGCTTACAGAAAATGTAACGGCGTAGAGAAAACAACGAGAGTCCACCATAGAAGCCGCCGACATTTGGCAATATGCTTGAGGTTTCGAAGACTTGGTACCCCAATATCCAACCAGTTCTGAGTTTGATGAGCGGCATCAACTTCTGCACGACTTGGTGCTGCGAGGAGCTGCATGCTGAAGTTCGATGCGTTCAGGAGCAGAGTAGACAGGATGTTGATCAAAACGTGAAGACCGGAGCTAATTTTGGCTGAGATTCGGCAGTCCCCATGAAATATTTGGGAGTTTCCAGAATTTACATTCATCAAGATGGTTCCAGCGATATTCAGAATGAGTACCAAACTGCTAACGATGCATGCCTGAAGCAGTAGGACATTGAGTTTTGCGTGCCAAACACCAAATGTCCGAGAAAGTGGATGCTCTGGGTCAGCTTTTGGGATGAATGGAGAAAGGAGCTCCCGGGATGCGAAAATACCCAGCCCACCAATCGGTGTAATGCTGTCACTGCCGCTTCTGGATTCAGCAATTTGAGGAGCTGGAATCAATGCCCCTCTCGCCTTTCGCGTTAGTGGGTCAATCTCAATAAGTTCCATGTTGATTTTTCAACACAATCAAGAAAATCTCGAGAAGAATTATCTTGATTTCTAGACGAAGCAGGTGCCATCATCTATAAGATTACGGTGAGGCGAGGCTATGATTTATTCTAGTCTGCAGACGTTGAGGCTGTGCTGTAACAGAGCAACTGTAACACAACGTCAATGACAACAAAAATATAGCGAATAGGCTCTTACGTAAAACTACAACACAGCCTCAATGACAGCATAATATAACCAATAGACTCTTACGTGAATTAGAGGCGGAAGGGATGGGACAGAGCAATCCCCGTAGGAACCGTGGTATCGAAAGCCAACCTTCCGAACCTAATCGCAGTAGTCTGTCGATCAAGGCTTAAAATAGTAATTTTTGCGAGCCTTCACCTGGCAAAACAAAACATGATTCCCTCGGGCCTCTGTTTGCTAGCGAAGTTCCTGGGTAAGTTCCATTTATGAGTCAGTGGGAGGACATTTGAACAGCTTCTGCACCAATTCCAAAGATTTCCCGAGAAGCACTTTAATTCGAGTTAGCAGTATAAATGGTATTGTCAAGCAGTACCAGAGACGGCTTGAGATTAAAATTACTGTTGTTGTCGGTGAGCACAGACTGCTGGCTCAGCAGATATTGCGGCTGTGCCAAGGTTGATAGCGTGGAGCAGCGAATCTTGAAGGCGTCCAGCTCAGCGAATAGGGTAGTGAGGCTCCGGTGAGTCTTTTCAGGGTAGTTAGCACACAGAGCGCTCAGCTCGGCGCATACAAGAGCAAGAACCTGCCAACGAAACGTCTCCAGACAGTCAGATTGACAGTCAGACTGTCCCCAATAAAGATCGATAAGGTCGATTCTCTGCTCTAATGGCACGTCGTCGTCGTCGTTGTTGTTTCCAGACAAATTTGGTCATATCGCAAGTAGTCAAAAAAAATTAAAAAAATAAGGTCTTATAGGCATATAGCAATGCTTATTTCTTAACCACTTGCAAAACGGGAAAATATAAAGCAACTCCTCTCCGGGTATTTAATTAGGGGTATCGATTTGGGGTGTCAATTAGGGGTGTCGATTAGTAATATTATTTGGGGGTGTCGTCAATTAGGGGTATTGACCTTAAGAGAGCCTGATAATTTAGCGATTAAGTACCTCATGCGCAATAATTGCCTCGGCTCTCCATGCTTCAAAACTAGAGCTCTTATATACAAACTTCCTGATACTTAATACGAAATCTGATTTGAGAGGAAGGCTTAAGTATATATAAGTAATGAATTAGGCATTATTAAAATTCCAAAATTTATTAATATTCCTACTCGATACTTGGGGGGTGGGGGAAACGCCAAGCGCTAAGCCAAAAAAAAACCCCCCCCCCCCGATTCTGCCATCGCCCCCCCCAAACGGCCCCCGGGGGGGGGGGGGGGGTCGTTTTAGTTTTCCCCACCTTTCCTGGAGTATTAAGTTCTGGCTTAAGTAATGTCCAAGTGGAAATTTAATCCCAGAGTGTCTTGACTCTTGACTATCTTTCCCACTTAGCCCAAGTGGGCTCGGATACTTGACTACGGCGCTGCGTTGCCGGTCCCGGAATGAAAGGTGTTAGTGAAGTCCCAGATCCATCTTTAAACTTTCGAGATTATAAATTTATAATGTTCAGCCTTCGCTGGACTACTAAAAATGAAATTTAAGTATCGTCTCAACTAAAAAAAACACAAGATGGAGACTGTAGCCAGAAGGAATACCAAGAGATCTTAGCTCGGCGGCTGGGGCCTATTAAAGACTGCCCGTACGCTTGTCGGCAACGGTTCTTCACCACGTAAACTGACTACAGGGTTGCCATTTCCAGCAGACGATGTCAATTGTAGCTCCATGATTGCCGGGGAAGGTTGCACAACCCCCAGCTGCCCATCGGTATCCTGGGACGCTTCCCTGGACTGGCTGTTTACGCCTAAAGAATGTCATTAGCTTACACCCGGAATATACTAAAATGCCATGATAATTATTTGAAGGTAAACTGACCTGACCAGATTTCCATCAACGGTAGAACAGGGAGTACAATTATTATCATTGCAAGTAGTTGTCCGAATCCCCATTGGTTTTCCTCTTGAGGGTTTGCCACAGATTCATGGCTTCACCAAGGATCAAGGATCAGGAACGCTAGACCAAAACACCAGGATACTACTTGAACGCCGGTAACTGTTTTCGGAAGGGGGAAGAAGGTAACTTTCCAGAAGATTTTCAATCCATCGAAAAGCTTTTCAACAAGGTTGTGCAGCCTTCCTTGCTTCCAGATTTGATCAACAACCCAGAGGCAACACATCCTCGAACCTCTGAAAACGTGACCAGGAAGGACCCATAGCCAGAACCGGTAGAACTTATACCAGAAAGGGGCAACAAAGAACCCTGTGGTTGAATACCCCCATGCAAGCAGAAATGACTGGACTATGCCAGCGAAGGTGAGAGCAGTGTGCTGAATTGGGAACCCATATTCGCTGAAAAGTGTACTGACGTCGGAATTTGAAAAGGCACAATGCGCGGGGCACGCTCCTGCCCCGCCTTTTGGCTCATATTGTGGTGACCATGTAATGGTAAAGGCCAGCATGGTGACCACGCAGATCATCAAGAAAAGCCGTATATGCAATACTCTTCTTCGCGTATCCTGTATCCAGTGGACTCTGAGCACTACCATAGACAGAAGATGGGTGATTGTTGAGAACCACGCTATGTCAGATACGACGTTGAGATGGTAGTTGGAAATCTTGCATTGCCGGATGGAGGTCGTGACTAGGATAGCAATGCTTGTTGCAAACTGTTGATCGCTGAGACTTAGTATGAGCTGGTCAAGGATGTTGATCCATTTCTGTTTCCGAGTTTTAGCTTGCGAGTTGTCAGGCGTTGAGACTGGGGAATGAAGTTGGGCATTTCGAACGCTCCTTGAGATGAGAATATCCAAGGTCTTGTGTGCACTTAGATTCGGTGGTGGGTACAAATCCTTCTCGTAAGATTTAGGTCTCAAGTTGTGCACAGTGACAGACGCTACAAGAGTTATCGCTGAAGTCAGAATAAAGGATAGGATGACCTGAAGAGATTTTAGCTATTCGATCCTGATTTTAGGAAAGAATGAGATTTCGTTTGCGAGGAGAAATCGTACCCCTATTCCACCGATGTCAGGGTCTGGCTGCGCAGGTGGACAATTATCTGGCCAACCAGTACAATTTCTGGGATCACATCCCATAGCGAGAGGTTTGGAATCCTGCCGTTCTCAAGAGAAGGTATTGATTTGTTTGATCAGACTTTTTGATATTTCGAAAAGCAAAGGGGGTCGCTTGAAATAAGTGGGGATGAGGCTGTTGCATGTGGGCTGCTGCTCTACCTAGGTTTCGCTTCTGTGTAACAGTGTTCGTCATCCACCAGACTATGGTGGGGTTACACGGAAAGCCACACTGCAAGTAAGAGTAGGTGAGAAGGAAAAAGAAAGGAGGGGCTGTGGATGGGTTCCCTTTTCCGTGACGTCCATTCACGAAGCCGTGAAATGAACCATGTTGCCAGAAGGATCTAAAGAGTAAGCCCACAATATCTACATCTATTTGGCAAATTGAGGCATTCTCCCAACAAGTTTTTGGACTTTGGTGTATGATTACGAGATCTGGGCCGCTTCGCTAAAATTAAAGCCTGGCGGCCCTATGCAAGCTTCGGGGCCAGTCTTTAATTTTGCCCTGATCTCGATTCGAGATTAATTAGATGCCTCAGGTACTTATTTAAGGGATATTAGCTTTACTGACTTTAAATTCACTTTGAAAATTCACCTTTTAAAGGCTAAAAATTTTCCAGGTAAGCTAAATAAGGTAGGTTTTAATTTCGAATTCCAAAGCTTCTTTCCTTTAATAAATACACATATACATACGTAAGTCAATCCTATACCCGCTACGGGCCTGCCCCTGGCCTATAACGCTCCTTACGGTCCGTAGAATGTCTTCTCTCCCATCTGCTCCCGCTACTTCAGCAGCACCAGCACCAGCCCCAGCTGCAGCTCCAGCTTTAGCACCACCACCACCACCACCACCACCACCAGTACCAGCAGCAGCAACAGCAGCAGTACTAGCAGCAGTAGCACCAGCACCAGCAGCAGCAGCAGCACCAGCACCAGCACCTGCCCTGCCTGCCCTGCCTTGCCTGCCCGCCCGCCCAACCCACACCATAACGGCACTCTCTTTACTGGCTCCGCTACGGGTACCTGTTTTGCGGCTCGGCCGTACTACTAATCCCGCCCGGCCTACTAACCTGGAGGCTGAGCTTGGCTAATTCATTAGTTAAGTTTATACCGCCAGATATATATATTATATTAGCGGGTCGGATATATAAATAGTATATATAATTATGGCTAGTTAGTTTAGAGAAAGCTATACTAATTACTATTATAGTAGTAAGAATACCTATTATTCTTTCTATAAGTGCTTTTTATATCTGTTTATTAATCTTTTATAGACCGTAACTAACCTAATAGGTACTTATAGGTACTACTACTATTCTCTCTCTCTCTCTAGCTCTAGCTCTAGCTCTAGCTCCTGTCTCTATTATTACTAACCCATATCCGCTTTACTAGGTCGCTCCCGGTAATTATATAGGTAATTAGATTACTTCTAGTAGATTATCTTTATATATATATATTTGCTATAGATTATTACGGATTATAACTAATATATAAATAGTCCGCTATCCCGCTACTTCTTATTACTACTACTTACTTACTTCTTCTTAGAGAATATGCTATTTTACTAAGTTCTATAGGGAGCTAGTAGCTTTTTATAAAGAGGAGGCAGAGGTATTAGAAAAGGAGGAGAAAATAAATTACTTAGTACTAGAGATAGAGGAGAAAGAAAGAAAAAAGGAGGAAGAGGAAAGAGAAGAGAAAAGGGAGAAAAAAAGGAAAAAAGAAAAGAAAGAAAATAAATAAAATAAGAAGTTATAAATCCTATAAAGAATTATTTAAGAAAGATATATACTTTTAATATCTAATAATATAGTATTCTCGGTTTATTTAAGCCCTAAAATATTTAAAGTAATAATTATAAATTACTTATAAATAGATATAGATACTTATAAGTAGTTATAAATAGTTATAGACCTCTAAATCCCTTAACCTAATTTATAAGGCTATCTAGTATCTATAAGATACCTGTAAGAAATAAAGTACTAAAATAAATTAGCTAAGATTTTAGAATAAATTATATTAAGTATTCTAGATAGGTTCTTATATAATAGAAAAATACTTAAGCCTTTTATAAATAATATATAGGAAATCCCTATATAAAACTACTTATAAGTAAATATAAATATTTATAGATCTAAACTAATAATATAAAAGAACTAATCTTATAATTTATTAATAATTATTATAAAATATAAATAGATTAGAAACTATTTCCAGAAAAGAATAATTCTCAGGCTAGTATTTATAATAAATAGCTTAATTTATAAAATTACCTATAACTAGCTATTAAAATTCCCTCTAAGTAAATAGGCTTTAATATAATATACCTATAAGCTTATAACTATTATCCGGGTTCTATTATATAAATCCTCTTATAAATATAGGTTTTATAAAAGTAATACCAGAGCTCTAATCTTAAGAATAAGCTAAGATAATAATAAGAAAAAGAAATTAATACTTTATAATTACTTTATAAATAGTTTATATAAGTTATTACCCGAAAACTTATTTGTATTTAGGGAATTTACTAATTAGTATATCTGTAATTAGCCTAGTAAATATCTAAGAATATAGGTATTAAGCTCCGAAACTATAATATTTAATATAATTAAGAAATATTACTTATAGAAAATTAATAAATCTATAGTAGCCCAAGAGAAAAGATCTAAGAAATAAATATAGCTAATTAGATTTATAATTAATACTAGCTAGTTTATATAGTCCGAAATTATTATTATTTTATTAGAATCTGGGTTATTAGGTAATTTACTAATCTAGTAAATAAATTTCTAGCTATTCTCGTTTTTATAAACTTATATATTAATTTATAAATAGAGCTACTTGAGCTATAGCTAAATAAATAATTATTAAAGATATATAATAATAATATCTGCTTATAAATTATATAATATAACTAAAAGAATCTAGATAAAGTCTTTATTAAGAATTATAGATACTTTTCTAAAAAGAATATTATTTATTATAAACTATAAATTTACTAAAAGCTAGTAAATAATCTTAAAGTAGTATTTATATTATATTAGTATTTTATTTCAGATAATAAGATCTATAAACTAGAAGATCTATTTAAGAATATTTTATTTTATAATAGAACTTATAAATAATTTATAAAGCTTAATTAGAATCTTAAACTAGAAATAAGACATATATTTACTTAGTAATAAGAAAGCTATAATATCTATAAATACTATATAAAGAACTATTTATTCTTATTTATAAAAGTAATAATAAAATACCTTATATAAAAATATCTTATTTATATTACCTGGCCCTTATAAATAGAAATAGGCTATTTATAAATCTAATTTAATAGCTATTATAATCTCTATAAAATATAATTACTAATTAGAATTAAGCTAGGCTTATATTATAATTATAAATAATATCTAGTTCTTAAAAATATATAATATAAATAAGAAATAGTATTTACTAGTCTAATTTCAGACAAAAAACAAGAGCCTATAATCTATAAATAATTACTACTAGTTCGTAAGCCTATATATAAATAAGAAGAGGCTATAATTATAATATAAATTAAAAAGCAAAAATAGGAAATTATTATTATAAGTAAACTAGTACTAGAAATTATTATAGAAATAGTACTTATACCGGTTCCAGATTATTAATAGGTTTATAATTAGCTATTAATAGAAGCTAGTTAAGAATAATATTTGTAAATTACCTATAGATATAAATAGAATAGCCTTATTAAAATACTAGTATTATTTCTAGTTATTTTTTACTAAACTATAAGTAATATAAGTAATCTAATATATTAGATAATAAATACCCTTAACTAAATATAGATCTATAAAGAACTATAGGCTATAAATAACTATAAATAAGAGCTATAAATAGTACTACTTACCTAAAACAGGACTATAGTAATATATATAGCTAATTCGGTTATTATTACTTTACTAGTAGTATTTTTATATATAAGTTTTTAAAATCTATATAAAATAGGCCAGAAACTTTAAATATAAGTACTATTAGCTATTTTTATATATAGTATTATATTTAAAGAAAGCTATTAAGGTTAAACGAGTATTTATAATCTTTATAGCTAGAGCTATAAGAGAAATATTATTCGGAAAATAGATTATTTACTTTCTTTTAAAATAAACTATAAAATACTAAATAAGAAAGAATTCCTAATATATAGGAAATTCGAATAGCTACTAAATAGCTTTATATAAACTTATATAATAGATATATATATATTAGGTAATCTCGTTATCTATAGCTATAATTATAACTATTATATAATTTACTTCTTTATATATATATTTATAAATATACTTAATTATTTAAATTAAGATATATATTTTTATATTAATATATAAATAGAATTTCTAAAAAAAATACGAGTTATATAAAATAATCTAGTAATTATTATAAATAACTTACTAATCTCAAGTACCGGATTTATAGATTATAAATATCT